CAGTGGTTAATCAATCACAGAATCGGTACAGTCGATGTAAACAATGTTTTGTGGTTTTCTTTAAACTATGACACTTTGAAATTAGATGTAAAATGAGTTATAACAACACAATGATACTCATAATTAAAGAAAAACTATATTAGTTCTAATACAACTTAAGTTTTTTCTGAAAATAAAAATAAATATGTGAAAATCAAAATAATACTTATCATTGACTTTACTTCTAATACCTACTTTATAAACTTCGTCAATACTGAGTTTATAAATTAGTATAGGAAAAAATCATATATTATATTATATTAAATAGTTTAAATTACTTTGATAAATACCACTGGATAAAAAAAAACTACTGAGTTTATATTTAAACACGATTCAATTCGCCTGTACAGGTCAGAGAACATCAACAGATCGTAACCAATCAAAGTGCTAACTTGTCGGTTAGAAGCTGACCAGGGATAAGAGGCAAGTTTGCGTGATCTCATGTCGATTAAACGTTTGCTCACTATCTACGATATGTTTGCGATTCTTAAATCGATTCCAGCACGGAACGAGTCTCAGATATCGATTTAACACGAGCTGTTTTTGTTTTGTTTCGAATCGGTCATAAGACTTTAATATTATGGTCGTATAGTGAAAATAATGCTATTTAAAAAAAAGATTCTGGATATACCTGAAGATTGAAGAATGATTGCGAGATAAAATTATGTTTTATATAAAAAAATTAAGCAGCACTTTTATTTTATACAACTAGGTAGGTTAGGTTATGCATCTGTTATCTTTACATCTTTATATAGAGTCTTGTTAAACCCAATAAAACCTTTTTTGTAAAAATTATAGTTAGACGTACGTATTATAGATAATCTATTGCAAAGTAAAATTAGGTCACATTTAAACTTGTTTTTATAATTTACTAAAACTCTCTGAGGTTACTAAATTGCATACAAATATGACAAAGTTTAACATTATTCTGAGAATATTCTCACCTATATTGTGCACATGAGAATTGCTTGGACGGTCACTAAAAGGTGCACAAAAAACAAAGCAAAAAAATTATGAATATAAAACGAACTCCTACCCTTGTAGTCTTGTTTTTTAACCTTGTTTATTTCTAAAAAAAACTTAAAGTTGTTAGTCGGGCTGTTCGTCGCAAATATCTTTACATATTCTAAGAAAAAATACATTTTACAATGCCAAGACGGAGCACCAGTATATAATATAATAGGTATGTAATTTACACATGTGTTATATACTCGTTATACTTAAAGTAATAAATGTAAAAGTGAAACATGTTGGAAATAATAAAAAAAATAAAACTTTCAATCAGTTTGAGACACAAATTTTAAGTTACTTTTCATACTATTCAATCTTTGTGTTAATATTTATGGAAATAACTTTTATTCATTTAAAAAAATGGGATAACTTTACATTGAAAAACATTAATTTAATTATATTCATAGATTTGTTTATATTCGCTCACATTCAAATAAAATAGTTCAAAAATTACTAAAACATTACACGACTTAGTAACTCAGACTGATATAATTGTGTTATAACACTGAAAAAGTTGTAAATGAATTTTTAAAATTAGGTGCAGAAAATAAAAATGAAATTCAATTATTTTTATTCGTATGAAAGTAAATGATCCGTGTTTCTTATTTCTCTGCACAAAATTTTTATGAAAAACAAAACTATTTGCCATACACATTTATAAAGTAGATTGTTCGAGTCATTGTTTTCGACTGAGCATGAACAAAGAGAATAAATATTTTCATGCTGTCACAGAGATGGAATAATTTATTTTCATGTTTTTTAAAATCCTGAATATAAATATTATGAGTCACAGACGAATGGTCGGGTTCTTGATGCTTATCTAAACATGACAAGGTCTTGAACACCTCGGCATTAGTTAAGAAAAGGTTTTTAAAGGATTAAAGATTAAAATTTCAACCTTCAAATTTTAGCGTAATTTTTCTTTGGTATGTTTAATAATATTCCTTTTATTTGAACTGAATTTATTGGTTAATTGTTAAAGCATAATAAGGCATATAATAAGGATTGTTACTTTGCTTAAGCTGTTATTTTCTCTTAGCTAATAGATTTTTTTTGTGGTAGTAAGTTATGGTCCCCTATTACTTATTATTAAGTTTAGATATATTCCTTATATTACCAATTGCCTTTATTTATAAGTTCCCTCTTAATTTATTATATAAAAAACTAAATTTGTAATTCAAAACGTACAAATATGATAAAATTACCTTAGTAAATATATTACCTATATCATTTCTAATTAATGTTATTTAAATCGTTAAATAAAAGTGATGAATATAAGCTGTTCAAAGTGAGATATATTTTAGCGATATCAATAAAAGTTTTTTACACATCTAAAAGAGTAGAGCAATGGTCATAATTTTTATTATGCAATAAAAACATGTCCATGTAGACTCCGATCTATTAAAGATTGAAAGTCCTTAGAGTTTTACGAGGCGACGGCGGCGCGTGGCGGTAGTAAACAGGCACCTGTTGTGTGCCACTTCGTAAAATTCACTCAATGGCCTATATTGTATGCCAATCATATTATTCATTCATTGCTTTAACGACTTGTTTTGTGGTTTTATGCGCTACTAATAGTTGCCGGCGCTGTTTTATAGCCGACCTTCTTTCATGTCAACAATCAGTGCAACGTAAAACGTGTGTGAGTTTATGGCGAATTAAATCACTTTAATAACCAGCATTAAGTATCTAGTAATGGTCAATTAAGTCCGTATCTTTATTAACTTGATTTAGTGTGAATATTGTTTTAATGTTTTTTTAGTTGAGGTGAGTTGATTGACAACAGACACACTAATTCTTTATAATGATGAATGTCACGTTTTTTTCCAAATTTGTTTTCGGATGTGCCTAGATATAAAAATTGAGTAGATACATTCGTAGGCTCGTTCATTTCTATTCAATGCTTTATGGGAATATATGTTGGTCATAAATAACTCTCTTACGCTTAGTAAGTACTTCGGAAACGTATTTCAGCAGAAGAATATAAGAACGAAAGCAAAACTCAGCAGTATTCTTAAAATACACGCGGCGTTCCGCCATGATCCATAACTCAAATGATAGCATATGTCAGGAATATCAAGGAGGTTTCGCGTCAAGCCCCTCCTTAACTAACATGGCCGCATTCTTCCCGAGCACCATCTCACCTCTTATTGGTGCAAACAATAAAACATATTTCTCTTCTGCTGTATCCACCAATCAGCAACTTTCTTTTTGTTAAACAGCACATTTAGATAGTTCCTGCATCCGATCTTCTTTCTCATTTAAATTATATGCGTGTGAAGAGAGCCGTGATATTTACCCGATCAATGAACTAGTTGCTGCAATACGCACACAGATGGCTCTGTCTAACGAAGTAGATCTCGCGTTTTAAACTAGATGGCGCTTTAAAATATTTTATAATGAGGCTTTTTAAATAATTAAGGAACTTAAGAATATTATAATGTAAATATTATTCAAAATATTACACTATGTATTGTTTTATCTTCTTCATATTACACAATGAAATAATAAGTAGATATATGTCAATTCAGATAAATTAAAAATGACACAATATTATGTAAATTATCTCATTTTAATCCAATCAATTTATTACAGAGGAAACAAGCTACTTGCCTGACTATTGTATATCAATGTACAATCTTTTATTGTAAAGAAATGGTAATGTAACCTAGAATTAGACATTTTGTAGTTAACGTTACTTATTATTTTTAGGTACATATTTTTTCATAATAGAACCATCCTATTAAAAGTCTTAAACAAATTACTTACATACGTATGATCTCTCATATTTTTTACCAGTCACACGTAGCTGTTCCTATCGTGATTAAATCTTTTTTGTATATTAAATAGTCAATAATATTTTAATATAATAACACTTCCAATACGAGTTACCCAATACTCTATGCGCTTACCTGCTCTAAGCTCAGAAGTTATTCTTAGCATCTTTGTTAAATTAGACTCGACGTTGTGCACGTGGAAATTATTTCTTATTGCATTCGAAATAGGAAGGAGTTTTCAGTAGCTTATTATTTCTTCCGTGATCTGCGCGAACGTTTCGCGGCCTCAATTTCGTATTCAAGAGATACCTAACAACAGTACGTAATAATCGTAAACAGAGCGATTGGAACTCGAATTTTGGTGATTTTCGAACTCGGGGCACCATTGAAAAAGTAAGTACAATCACGTGATATAATAATCGTGGAAATAATACCAGTGAACTTGCATGTAGTGTAATTTTTTTATACACTGTAACACGATCTCACAATTTTTTTTTATTTTTTATACCTCAAGAGTTATGTACTGTGTTATTTTTATGTCAGATTGCAGCATATTAAAAGGTTTCAGTTTTTTCTAGTTGTAACTAAGCGGAAATTGGTGGCAATAAAACAATTAATGCATTGTTATTACTTTATTCAATATTGATTTGTAGAAACTTTACATGTATAGGATCAATATTATCTACCTACTTATATGTATATAGTAGATGTTTTTAAAGTCGAAATTAATAAATAAAATTATATTTAATGTAAAACTAACTCCATTAAAACTTCTTTAGACAGAAATATTATTTCTTTTGCTTCATTAGGCAAGTTGCGTCTGATAATTTCTGAGTGCAGTAGATATGAGTATAACATGCGATAAGCCTATCAACGCCAGGATAAAGTAGAAGACATTCGGTATTTTTAAAGCAATGCCACTTTATTCAGTGAATCCGTTATCAGTTTCTTAGTAGACCTTTCGTTACCGCTAACATCTTATACGGGTAAACATGGTACTTAAAAACTCTGGACACATTATTATGAATATATTTAAAGTTAAAATAAAACAAACACCGGTAAATTCAAAATATTCGTATTATTTTTTAATGTATTTAAAAATATATTTTGACAAACTTTTATTTACAAAATATTGCATGTTCTGTACAAAATTTTCTTTTTTTCTCATTGGAAATCCTCGTTAATCTTCTCGATTAAAAAATGTCTTCCATAATCTTCGTTCTCGTTTCAAAACTTCTGAAATATAAAGAGAAAATATGACAAAGTGAGGACATAAGGGTAATTGAAGGGCACATTTGGCGCAGTCGCCAAAATTTCCCCATTTGTCAAGTGAACTGTAGCGTATTCGAGTCAGCGACAACGATTGAATTATGTTTATTTTTCAAAAATATCTTTCAACATTTCTTTATGCAAAGATATCCGACGTGTATTTTTCTCACGGCTATCGTGTACGATTGAAATTAAAAAAGAAAACATTATTATAACCTCACAATTTATTCACAATGTAATAAGACTGTTGTAAAAAAAATTAAGTACCTATTTATTTTGTAGTAATTATAATTATATCTTTTACTCAAAGTAGAAAGAATTGTAAGATATTGTTATGAAAATTATATTACTTAGGTATATTGATGCGGACATAAAAATTCTGACTTTAAATTTTATTAATATTAGGGCAAGATCAAACATTATATATTCCAAAAATACAGTAAAACCCTATTAAAAATTCAATGCCTATTTTTCATAAGAGACGTAATAATATTCATTTTAAGTCTTTGAGTGGTACCAATTTCCTTTGTTACCGACATATGTCTTTACCTGAAGGAAATTGCCAGTCTTGTTTTACAAATGTGTAAGGGAACGCAAGGGGCGCAATCACGTACACGCGTAGACGTGAATGGATCCATTGCAATAACCCACTTTCTACGATTGTCTTTGTTTCAGACATCTTATTGATATATGTTAGGTATATCTAACTTTATCTTTTGTTGTTTTTTAAATTTTAGTTCAAAGCTTAATTTAAATGCATGAGCTGTTCTCTTATCATCGACATTTTGTCTTGTCTTATCATTTATTAAGGCCAACCTAATCTTGAGAAGAAAAAGTTTTATATTTAAAATGATCTACTGGTTTTAATACATTGATTGTAAAACACACCCGTATTTTCACAATCAAATTCCATACTTCTATCATTCACTAAAGTTCAAAATTTGATAAGCAACATTTACATAGTATAGCCTTAAATTTGAGGCAGACTTAGATACAATGGAAATGAGAAGGCTTCCAAACTGTATATATCTATAGTATATACATCTTTGTACATGGTAGGTAGCGGTCGGGAGCTCTGAAGTGCAGTTTGGGAATACCGCACCGACTGATACGCCGTAAAGTACAGGGATATGCGGACTCACACGGGGTTGTTACTTCCAGATATATCTGAGGACATAAGGAATATTTGGTTTAATTTTTCAATTTCGCAATATATGTAATATTTATTTCCCTAATAAGATTACCGAAACTACCTACTTTGGTAATCTTTGCGATCTTTTTCATGTGTGTACCTTTAATTTTATTTAATTTTATAACAGTCTATACTCGTATTCTAATACATAAAAATAATTGGCGCATTATTTGATACCTAATTGAAATTTTAAATTCATCGATATTATTTTTAATAGTAGTGAAACGAGAAACGAACTAATTTTTCATTAATTCAAATGTAATCTAGATGTTTTCTTGTTTTACAAAATGCCAAAATTTTTAAGTATTAAACATATTTCATTAGTGAGATAAGATAGGTATTTTATTATATTAACAATACTTAGTTCATATAATAAAATACCTATCTTATATATAATATATAATGACGTAAAATACAAAATAAATAATCGATTAGATATAATGTCAAGCGTGATTTATTGGATATTTAAATTATTTAACTTAAGTGCTTCAGTGTGCAAAAAGAAAACAAAATTAAAATACAATCGGAATCTTATGTCAATTAAAATTACAGCAATAATAAAAATAATACAAATTCTATCGATTAAAATTAATTAAATCGTCATTTTTACTCATGAACATGGAAATAAAACTATGGACAAAAACTATCTGTTGCTCAATATTGTACAAACAGCTATTACGTTGTTCAATTTACCATATCATCTTGCTTGGTATTTTTCTAGGAATTCAAAAAAAAGTAAACAGTATTTGAAGTAGTGTAGAATTTAATGTAATTTTGATACATACGGATGATATTAATTCTGGACGAGTTTCATTATGCAAAATCATTCTCATATCCGCGGATCTGTCTCGGTGTCGGGATCTCGCTTGTGTCGCGCAGGGTCAATAAAATATGTAGGCAGGCGACGTGGGCTGCGGCCCTCTCCCGCCTTTCCTATAACAAGAAAGAATTTTTCTATGCATTTATTTTCTTCAACGGAATACGTTAGACACGCTCCTCCAGCTTTTTATTACGTCGCATGAATTATATAAATTACCTATTCCCTTTTATAATGGAATTTTAATTTTTTTTACGAAATCGAAAAACTTTATGTGAGTTAGATAAAATTTTAGAATTCCAACATGTATATTCGTTAATTATAAAAGGTTGTCATTAATTAAAGCTAGACATATCTTAACGTTACAATGACAAAAACAACACATAAACCGTTAATTGTTGTCTTAATATTTGAAAACGGAATAGATAAAATGACATAAATATTTATAATGTTGGTATTATCAATACGTCGGTAAAATTCCATATCTATAGAATTAAAAATGGTGATCAAATGACATAAACAAATAATGCAATTAAGTTTAGAACGGTATACCGGTACACGTATTAAGTTATCCGATCAACAGTATATTATACAAACATATATTTTATAGACAGACGATATCAAGTTATTGAAGCAATTGCTAAGCTTCAACAAAATGGTTGCTACATCAAATAAGTAATTCTGAATGTGCTGGAACGCATCTCAAATGACCGCGGCCATCGCTTTCGATTACACTGTAATAACCCAACAGGTTTCAATTGATTTAGGACTATGTACTCAGCGGCGCATAGAGCTTATGTGATGAGCAATGGTTCATGATACACGGTACACGAATTGTGGAATTTCATAGTTTAGTTTGATAAACAAAAAACGTTTTGACATTGTGTCGAGCCCAAACTAACATAGTGTTATATGCTATATTCAAATTGTTAATGCCGTATTTGTGTTTGTGTTCCTAATCATAGTAATTAATAAAAAAAACTAAACCAAAAACCAATAATTTGTAAACACAAAATTGGCATAATTCAATGAAATAATTTATTAACAAATTGCCCTCTATTGTTGAATGTACCTAAGGTAATTCATGTTAAACAATAGATGTGTTCGTAGAGCAAAATATTAAATTTATATCGACATGTTTTCTGGTCCAGTGAACGCAACAACACTGAGCTATTCCGCTAATGCGATTAAACAGAGACAGTGCCTGCCTGCTTCATGCTAATTCAACAATAACTCTCAATTTTGCTACAAACCAGCACACGCCATTCATTTCGGCGTCTACAGCAATAATTAAATTATTTAATAAAAGTTTTATTTATCTTGTTTATATTTAGACCAGTAATTTGTTGCTTTCAAGATAATTTTCCCTTATTATTAATATAATTTTGTTACTATCGACTCAATTCTTGTAGAAGGGTCAGAATCACAATCAATACCTAAAAGGAAAAAAATGTTTTGAGTTGCAACAAGATAGGTTATGTAACATAGACGTAAGTAAAGTTTAAAATTGTAGTTGTGATTATTAAAATTATACTTATATAAATAGACTTGACATTGTAACTGATACTGTAATCAAAAGCGTTCTTCTGATATTGAAGCTTGTAGCATTTGTCACAAAAACGATGCTGTCTCATTAAAAGAGAGCCGAGGCTCGTTGTTGTAAGTTACCGTCGGGGCGCGCTCATAAAATATAGCATTTGATTGGTGGGTAAACGCGGACTGTGGCTTTCATAACTTACCAGGCATTAGCTTAAGAAACCAAGTGTCGCTTTCGCTAAAAACGATGTTTATCAGCCGAAATACACGCACAGCGCTAATGAGCAATCTTTATAAGAATTCTGACTGTTATGGGAGGCGGATTCCGATTGCTTAATCTGCCGTGAGCACAGCAGACGCCCGCCAACGAATGTCGCCTCGCTGCGTGCCCAATCTGTCCCCAGGTTCACTACTGCGTTCACATTACCTTAAAATTATAAAGAAATCGCCCATTTATTAAAGCAAATTGGATGAAAGAGCCTCATTTAGATACCGAACTTAAATAAATCAATGGCCATTGCATTAATACAAATATCCGCATAACGTTAGTCGAATAACATTTTAAAATGCAAATATCTCGTTAAAATCAGAATTTTAAACATATTTAAGGCAACGTAGCATGTTTCGAACAACTTATTTAAATTTATTAATAGCATATAAAGCTTATTTTTAATCGATCCGATAACACAAATGGCAGTAATTGTGCGTCCTCAAAATATGTTCATAACGAAGCACGTTGCCGAAAGCCGATCTGGGTGTTTACATTCCTGTTTCTCTTCCTACGTTAATGTGGTGCCGATATGTAATCTCATGTTGTTTTAATCCAATTATACAACCTTCATGTCGGGATAGGTTCACTTGGAACCGATCTGATAGTATACGAGTGTAGTTAGAAACTAATTTTACGAGACACGGGAGAGCGGGCGCGGGTTATGCCGCCTTTTGCCGTCTAATACAATCCAGATAACTAGTGACGTCTCATCTACATACGCCGGTTTAGTTCGCCGGTGCTCAAAAGCATTGTTCATTGATAAACAACGATAAGTAGACGCGCCTACCGTGCGCTTATTCAAATTAACTATCAGGAAAACTAGTTATATATAGGAACGATTATCGACCTTTTATTAAGTACGTAAACTTGCATTTAAATAAAATATGACCATTCCTTTTGAACCTTCTAAAAGGAATCGTGTTAATATTTCAGTTTTATCTACAAACTTAATAAATGTGCTCGTGTCTAGATGAAAATGCTCTAGGGCGGAGACACATCAATATTCTACATATGGGGTCAGCTGGCTGTTTAAGAGACGAGAGAAATATTTTTCATTTAATAAAACGTTCAAATGTACGTTATGGAAGATAAACTGCAATCACTTTTAAAATTATGCGCCTTTTAAGTAATTAATTCTAATTCTTCGTTTTTTTATTAAGCAATAATCATAAGGATTGTACATTTTATTTTAATTAGTGCATCAGGATCTTAAATAAACATTACATATTACTTGATTATAATTGAATTGCCCTTATGTGTACATTATTTCGAATTCAAAAAAGTATTTTTTAATTTTGCAAAATAACCGAGTGCTTTTGCAGGCAATTAAAGAAGTTAAAAACAGGTCAAGACATCGAAATATTAAAAAAGTTATTAAGCTGAAATTACATCGCAAAATTTCGAAATAACGCGCGAATTGAACTTTAATAATGCAAGCGATGTATGACAAAACGGTCGTTATTGTTTTGGAGAGAAAACGTCGTGTGTAACACAAACTTAAAACAGAGTACTTAGAACTGACATTTCGGTTTATTTCGGATTTCTATGACTGTTGTTAGTAGAATCTAATAAAATCGATTAGTAGACGTAAACAAAAAAGATGACGAGTTTTTAATTAGTCATGGGCATAAGCTGAGAAGTCGTTCTTTCTCTTGAAATTATTAACACATAATAATGCGATTTTATGGTTTCTTTTAATGGAAGGTTGGGGTTATCGGAGTGGTCCGAGGCTGAGATACGGGCCTAATAACGCTCCATGTTAATGGACTCGCCCGATGGAGTCGTTTTTATATAAGTATTAGATGTATATATACCTTTACTATAAATCCTTTTGCGTTTACTTACGCCTACCACGTCATGAATGAAATAAAATACGTATGATATTAACAAGAGATAACGCATTCACCGCTTACACGATTCGTTTTATTTATTTTTCTGCATCGATGTAACCGATAGGCTGTATTTCAACATGGACGTCACCTGTTACATACCTAGTTCATAAAAAATAAATTTAAAGATTTCCCTTATGCGACACGAAGAAGAAATTAAATGCAAATCTTATAGCTGTTACTGTCAACGGCAAGACACGTCATTATTCTTCGTTAAGTAAGATTAAGGTTGTCGCCATCAATTTTACATATTTATTTCCTGTGTTTTTAGTGATAAATCTAATCTATAAAACATTTGTAAAACTTTGTCTATCGCCAAATCGTTTAAATAACATATTACAGTTAATTTTATTCGATATGACGAAAAAATAATGAACATGGGCGGCATAATATAAAAAACATATTTATTGGTCAACAATCAACATGAAAAAATTAAACATAGCTTAAATTCAATTCACAACTGCGACAGAAAAATGTATTAAAATAAAAATTGTTATTCTGGAAATGGTTTCCAATAGTTTCCAATAATTTACCGTTGAGGAATTATTATCAATCCATTACGCAAATCCGGCCTACGCTTCTAATGCTTCTATTAACGCTCCATCTAACGCGCTGAAATATCCACGTGTTTTGTTGTTCTTTTAACATCCTATAATTCAATGCTAGTGTAGCGCGCCGCACAAATGGATCTTGAAAAGCAACCAGTTATTTTGACAAGCGCACTAACAAGGTTGGACGTAACTCCGCCCACCTCCAAACAAAATTGTACCATTTGTTAGGGCAACAGAGCCTGTTTTCCCGCAAAAATCTTGATGAAATTACAAGTTTCTTTTCTTTTGTTACGCTAGACCTTAATTTTAATTTGGAATGAGCTTTTTATAGAGGACTCTGTAAAGAGAAACAATTTTTCATAAATGATGAGGCGGCACCGATTGTGTATATTGGATAAATATTTTTAAGAAAAGCCGGGGTCGGAAAAATGTGGGGTGTAATAAATAAAAAGGCAAAGCCACGTCGACACGTGTAACCAATCGCTCGATTATACGAGTCCGTAATGAATTACACCCCCGTACGAATTAACCAGGTTTCGTGTGAGATATTGCCGCTCGAGCTCCGCACGGCCATGAAATTATTTTTTTACGAAAATTCAAAACACTTGCCAGTGCCAAAGATTATAATACGAGTACATACGCGAGCTTATTTCGGGTCTGTGCCAACTAATTAAGTTAGGAAGCTCCAGCGTGGAGCGCAGGTGCTACTAATGATTTAATTTCGCCAGAATCGTACACTTTCAGCTCGATATTGGACTTTGATCGCTTGAATAAATCTGGCGATTGCCTAATCTGCATACTGATACCCTGTCTCGTTATATTGCGGATTAAATATTTATCAGATCAAAGGAAAATATATTTTTAAGAAC